TTAGGTAGCTGCTTTGTCCATTATTATGGCACCTTGCTCTTTTGAGTATTAGGTGTGAGAGTCCTCAGTGAATCAAAGCAATGTTAAATTCATTACAGAATGTCATTTTCCACAAGTCTGCTCCCCCTAGGAAAACCCACCCACTCATCCAGCAGAAATAACTAGAGAGTCATGGTCAATATAGTGGGGTGGAGGGTTTATCCAGAAATCCCCATGTCAGTATTTGCAATTGACAGGGACCTCTTTTGGTCATTCATGCATATATTCACACGCACACTGCACAGAACACTCGGAGATGAAACAGTATAAGTACCACAAAGGAAAGAAGAAACATCTTAAATCTTTATTTTAAAAAGGATTACTTATAGTCTAATCTTGAACTTGATTTCTATTGCAGTTTCAAAACTTACATTAAATATCTTACCTCGATAAATATTTTTGCATTTGAGAATTGTGTAGTTTTAGAGTAGAAAACTTTATAAGGCCTTTAGTGCAATATACATATTTATACAGTGGGGTCTCTACTTAAGAACTTAATCCGTATTGGAAGGTGGTTCTCAAGTGGAAAAGTTCTTATGTAGAATCTGAATTTCCCATAGGAATGCATTGAAAACCATTTAATCCGTATCTGCTCTTTTCCGTCCATAGAAACTAATGGGAAGCTGCTATTCCGCCTTCTACCACTAGAGGGGGATTTTTTCTTTTTTTAGGCCAGGGAACAGTGTTAAAAGCACTTCTGAGGAAGCTAATTTTGAAGCAATGGACTGAAAACCAATTAATCCATTCTGGCTGTTTTTTTGTTATGTAGAGGTGCGTTCGTACATTGAAGCATTAGTTCCCATAGGAACTAATGCAAAGCTGGTTAATACGTACTCTACGACTAGGGGGAGAACTTTTTTTAACCTAAGATGACCTAAGGTTAAAAAAAGAGCAGGAAAGTTTTTTTTTCCTGTTCTTATCTGGATTTTTGTTCTCAAGTAGAAGCAAAATTTAGCAAATGGAGCTGTTCTTAAGTGGAATTGTTCTTAAGTAGGGACGTTCTTAAGTAGAGACCCCACTGTATTTCAAGTTGGTATTGTATTTGTATGGTGGTCTGGGAAATGGAGAAAAGTTGGTCAAGGATAGTTGGGGGAAATAGAAGGTCATGTTCTAGGGGCAACTCTAAAGCTCTGCAGGGTCAGAAACACCCAGTAGTCATGGATTTCCATTTTTTTACTTAAATTTATAAGCAGAACATAATCTTAGACCCTTCCTCTCACTATCTCATTTTCCTTCCAAAACGCCTTTCTTTTTTCCTCACCAAATTCTCATTTGTTCTTTTAGTGCAGTTGCCCGTCGTTACGCTAAATGAAGAAACTGGTTTGGCAGAAGTCAACTTGAAAGAGAAGCTTCCTTTGACCATTAGAAAGCAACCAGTAGCCACATCCTTTGTGCTGTTTGAGTAAGTGAATCGCCGTGGAGCCTTCTTCTGTGTGCAAGTGGTGAGGTTGGCGCTCGTACCTTAAAAGCACTCTTGAGAAGAGAAGGAATAAAATCTGTGGGGAACATAAAGAATAATGGCCCTCCTCCAACTGGTTTAATCCTCCCCCACTCTTGGAGAGGGACAGCGTGACAATCCTTCTCACCCAGACTGAAGGGGTCTTCCCTGTGGAAATAATGTAGTGGGTTCTTGCTTCATTCTGTCACCCTTTCTTAGGAATTCTTACACCTTCCCATTGTTGTGTGAAGCAGTGTTTCCTAACTTTCTTTGGGTTGTGACCCCCTTTTATCATAGCACAGTAAGCTGTGGCTCCTCCACCACATTTGCATTAAAGGCATATTTAACAGGGTGAAGGAAACACATTAAAATAGCTTTTTTTCCCCAGAATAGAATTCTAATCTAATATGTGAATATTAATGTAACAGTACATAATTATCGGGGGCGGGCTGTAAATCTGCCTCTACCAGACAACATTTTAGAAGGAAAAAAATGTCAATATGCTTTGAATTTAATTTCATTTTTTGGATGTGGAAATGACCCTCCTGTCAGGTCTCCTTGAAAACCCCCCCTCAGTGAAGGGACCCTCCCCCCTGAAGCCCAAATCAGCACACACCCCATGCCCCCTCCCTGGTTCTCCTCCCTTTTGTCCATGACTCAGGAGGGGCCCAGAGGGGTCTTCCCTTCCCAGGTCCCCTCTCTCTTCACTGCACTACTATCATCACACCCACAAGAGCAGGAGACTCAGGTGGAGTGAAAGGTGCCACTGCTCTTTCAGCAACAACTTTTCAATCTCGGTGCCATCTTGGGACACCCACATTCCCAGCATGCACCGTGCTCTGTCCTCATCCAGACCTCTTTGAGCTAGGCTAATGCTTGGGCCCAGATGGACGACCTCAGTCCTCCAGAGGTGGGTGTGGCGATGGAGCGGAGAGAAATGAGAGAAAGCTGTTCTTTTGGGGGAGCTGGCAGTGGTGTCCAGGCATAAAAGGAACATCTGCCCAAAGGGGTACAGAAATACCCAAGAACTCTAAGTTGCCTGCAATTCTGGTTCAGATCAAATTTATCCATCTGTAGGCCAGGAGGATTAAAATAATACCATGTTGTGTGTACCATATTTAATATAGTAAGTATAACAATAATTGCAACTAAAAATAACCATGGCAAATGCCCCCCAAAAGAAAAACCACTTTGTAACTCACTTGGGAGTCATGACCCCCATATTGGGGACCCATGGTGTAGACTGTGTGGACATACAAAAGAATAGCTTCAACATTCTCCTTGTTCTAGCCACAGGCTATATGTCTGACAGTGCATCTTGGGGGCTATATTGCTACTGGATTGTGTAAGCCTAAGCTACTGTCTATGCATTTAACATATGTTAAAATATTATGCCTTTATTGCCATATAAAATCACTTCACCTCTGGATTTCTGTGTGTCTTCTTGTTAAAAAGCACGTTAGTGATTGTTGACCCAACTGCAGAAGAAGAAGACTTGTCAACTGGGATGCTGACTATTGTAACTGATGAAGAAGGCAAACTGTGTTCTGTTTATAAACCAGGTACTGTGCCCCGTTATTATGAGTGAATTAAAGGACTAACAGCCAGAATCCCATTGGTGTTCATGTAAGGTTTGCATAATATGCTGCTGCAGCTAATTGCTGAGCCACCATCACATACTGCTTCAGCAACCAAGAGATGCCCTGGAGTTTTATTAGTGAGCTGTGGGAGGTTAAGCAAAACATCTGTGAACATCGAGAAGAATCTAGCCAAGAAATATTTTTTGACAAGTTGCATGCAGATATGCAAGGATCACGTAAGACTGGTTAAGCTATATGCCCTATGGTGTAGTTAATTTATTTCCATATTAAGGAGTGTAACTAAAATGTGATGCCACCATTTTAAAAAAAGGATTATGAAGTTGTGTTATGCAAGAATCGTCAAATGGGAACATGTAGCTCTTACATGCCTTTTAATATGTGATAGAAATGTTTTATTATTTGCAAAAGGCTAGTCTTCATGTCCTTCCTCAGGCAGGAGATTGCAAAACTTAGAGGGAGCTTGTTTTTCTTCCTCAAGTGGCCCGATAAAAAGTATCCAACTTAGTTTCATGGTCAATAAGTAACGTTAACAAAAAAATAAAGCTGCTTCTTTTTTACTTAATAAACTCAGTACCGTGTAATACTGTTTGATGGAAATTTGAAAAGGAAGATGAATGCTAAATCCAATATTTCCTTTTCTTTTTTTTTCCTTTTGTCAGGAGGAAGTGCCCTCGCGGAAGCAAAACTTCAAGATTGTATCAGCCGAGCAAGAGCCCGACAAAAAGAAGTGAACAAACTAATGGACAAAGTGACCACAAGCCTAAAACCAATATAATTTGGGGGGAGGGGCTTTAAACATTGTTAGAATATTATCAGTCACTGTGCTCAAACATCATCTTAAATCCTACAGTTGTGAAATTCTGTAACTTCAAACTGTCATTCCACTTTGAGAGATATAGAGTGCTGCCCGATTGGTAAAGTGCATTTTAAAGTAGGACTTGCTTAGGAATGTTAATTTCTATAGATTTTTTTAAAAAAGGAAACTGTATAAATAAAATAAATATAATAAACATATAACACATGTAAATATATAACAAATATATTATATATATTTGTTATAGAGATGGAAAGCAAATAATGTAACATCACTTATCCAGCAGTAAAAGTGTCACAGTTAGGAGTAAAAGCAGAAGACATTCTTCACCAGAGAAACTGTATATTTGCATTCAGATTCTTGAAGAGAAGTCTGGCAGACAGCATGCAGAAGAAAACATACAGGAGACCCCACAGGAGGACATGAGATGTCGCTGACATCTCGCCTTACCAAAAAGAAGATGAAGAGCAGAGTAGTTGTAATAGACAACTCTGTTCTTCATGGGACGGATACTGAAATATACTTGGAAAATCTGTGGACCCGCCAGGTTTAGCTTGGTTTTAACTGTTGGACTGGATTCAAGAATGTTGGTCTATTAGAATCAAGATAAAGGAGCATATTTAAAGGACACATTTTTAAAAGCATATGAAAGAGAATATAAAATTTCATTTAAAAATAAAAATCAGTATAACTCCAAAAGCTTTAAAAACATTCTTACAAATACATGAACATCAGAGTTCTTATCAAATGAAAAGCATTATGGAGCCTCGAAGCATATCCGTGTGTGTTTCGTGCTGTCAGATCAGAACCAACTTACAGCTACCCAAAGAGGGGTTTCAAGGTAAGTAGGTATCTGTGCCATTCCCGCAGTGACTTTCCAGGGCCAACTGGGAATTCGAACCCTGTTCTTCAGAGTCCTAAGAGGGGTTTCAAGGTAAGTAGGTATCTGTGCCATTCCCGCAGTGACTTTCCAGGGCCAACTGGGAATTCGAACCCTGTTCTTCAGAGTCCTAGTCTGTCACTCCATCCACTACACCACACTGGGGGGAAGTGTATGTCATGCTTAGGCTTATTTAAAAATTATTGTACTTACTAGCTTGAGCGACTTTCAAAACTGAACAATAATTCAACAATAAGCTCTTTTTAAATTGTTTCTTCGAAAACAAATTGCTGTGTCCACAGGATCTTCTAATAGAAGTGCTTGTATTGTTCTCTCATCTCTTACTTATGATGTTCCTTTTCCCACTGGACTGTGAGTGAAATAGGATTGAAAGAGTGTGTCTGATTCCCCACTGTATAGCAAAGGCACAATAACCCCAGTGCTGAGTGAAGATCTGATATTGTAGTAGACAACAATTGGCTTCTGCAACTACCCTTTTTATTTTTATTTTTGAGGAAAAGCAGTCATCTCTTATAGTAACATTTATGACAACCAACAAATACTGTAGTCCATACGAATTGATATACAATGTTCTTAAAGTCTTTGGTTTATTAAAAGTCCAGTTGCGATGTTCATTCTCCTTTGACTGAATTAATACATAATATGTTGATTGAAGTTTCCAAGCATGTCAATCAATACTCAATCTATTTTTCTCCTTAAAAAAAGTTATGCCCAGGCATCTTCCTTCCTTTTCTCAGAAAGAAGAGTCCCATGCCAATTGATTGCTTGAGGTCTGGCTGCTTAATTGTTGCAGTACAATTGGTGTAATTATGAACCTGTTCTTCACCACCATTTACATACATAACAATGTCCTTTCAGCTTTTTCTGTAGCTGCTGCCTTGAGAAGTTCTGCTCTCTCAACATTCTTTATCCTTTTTACCAACAGAGTAAGATGCATATACATCCCTCTTGCTTCTCTTAGAGGGCTTAATCAATTCCTTCCATGCCATCAGATCAGGAATTACTGTATGTATGTTTCCAGTGTCAAGTCCATAGCTTCTTTTTCCCCCCAGAATTTTCTGTATCTAGTTAATTACATAAGCAGACCTCCTCCTTTTCAATGTGCACATTTTTCTCCCCTAAGTGGGAGTTAACACAGGGAAGGAGAGGTTAATCCTATTTCTGAGTTGATCAGGTTCAGAAAAATATTTTAAGTTCAGAAACTAAGGACATCCGCCTTCTAGATCTCTTTATCTTACCCGATTACCTGAATTAGTATTACTATAGGGAATTCTAAAAGCTATCACGTCATTTTGTTATCCTCTCCTAGCAGAGTTTTTTTTTCTCTCTCAATGAAAACAAGGCACGTCATAACACTGAACACATTTTTTTCTGGATTTATAGCCTAGCAAACAAAAAAACACAAGCCTTATCAGCAAGGTTAGGATATTCTTAATAGGACACTAAAGTGAAGTGCACCGTGGGGCGGGGAGGGGGGAGCTGCTAGAAAGTGCAGCTCAATTAATATATATCCTGTGGTGCCATGTATTGATATTATTTCAGACTCTCTAACAACTGTTCCCTGTTTTAAAACTGTCATTTTCACCCTTTTATTAAAATCAATAGTTAATACTCCAGGAGGCTATATCCCCCTATCCCACTGAGAATGGATGATCTATAATCCTGTGTCCAGTTCTGGACACCACACTTCAAGCAGGATGCCGGACAAACTGCATCGTGGTCAGAGGAGAGCAACAAGGATGATCAGGGGACTGGAAACCAAGCCCTGTGAGGAAAGACTGAAACAAATGGGCAGGTTTAACCTAGAGAGAAGAGGAGGGTGATGGGAGATACTTGTAGTACCCTTCAAATACTTTAAAGGCAGTCATAAAGAGGGGGGGGCAGGATCTTTTTCTCAATCATCTCAGAATGCAAGACCCATAAAAGGCTCAAGCTACAGGAAGCCAGATTTAGGCTGAATATGAAAAAGTTCTTCACTGTTAGAACAGTTGGAACCAATTCTGAAGCTGCCTCAAAACACTGGAGGCACTGGAGAAAATAGGACAGCCATCTGTCAGATCTGCATTGATTTGGATTCCTGCCTTGAGCAGGGGGTGGGAATCAACAGCCTTATAGGCCCCTCCCAACTCAATTCTATGAATTTAAGGTGGGACACAGAAAAATCACAATGCTTCTTTTTTGCAAAAAATAAGAGGTACATGGTTCATACTATGTTTAGTTGTGATGTTTGTATTGTGTACAGAGGAGTTAAATCATTGTGTAGAGGCAAGAATTCTTTTTTATAAAGGGCATGTTAGTGCAGTTTATTGGGTTATTTGTGTCTAGTGCTGTGACTTCAAAGCTCTGCCAAAAAGGGTTGTGGCCAAGTTTGTCCATGATTCAGACTAGGTGTGATAGCACAACAAAAACAAGTGTGGGAAAGCAGACGAGAGTTGTGGATGGAAATTGTAAGAGTCAAGAGAACATGCAGGGAAAAGGAACAGGATAAAAAATGGTTTCAGGAAATTTTAAATTCCACAAAATAGAAATGCAAAGAAATACAAATACTGTATATCTTAGCAACCATCTTATGAAGTACTTGAAAGCTATGGCTTTGAAGTGTCACTTCATAATGAAATTATGGAAGGTGTGTAAACTTTTTTAAAGAAGAAAGTTACCTAAGTGAGCGTACTGGATCAATGTTTGGTATTTCCCATTTGCAGTGTAATCCTAGGTAAAGGTAAAGGTTCCCCTTGACAATTTGTCCAGTCGTCATTAAAACAATTCTGGTCCTCCATTCACACAGTAAATTTACATTTAATGATTAAAACCCAATCAGAGTGATTGATTTAAATGAACCTGCCCATTTTGAAATTCATGTACTTTCTGAAGAGATATATATACTACAGTAACTGGTTGCTATAGCAATTCAGATACATTGGCTCACAATAAAACAGATCCATCTCACAATGTACAGGCAGAATCTAAAATCTTTTTGTTGAAGCAGCCATGCGCCTTTTTCCACTGTAAAATTCTGTCACTTATGATACAATACAGATTTTTGTTTGACTTCCTTTCTACACACGAAACACATTTTGCAACAAAAATGTAAGGGGAAAGCATAAATTGTTTCCTCCCTACATTTTCTTTGCAAAACCTGCTTTTTGCAACGAAAATGTGGGGGGAAAGTAGGAACTTGCCCCCTCTACTTTCTTGCAAAGAAAGAAATTTTGATTTAGAAAAGGGGGGGGGGGGTTTTATACCCAGAAAAATATGGTATATCTTTTCATGTCACAACACTGAAGAAATGACACTTGGCTACAATGTAAAGCAGCGAGTATACAGTTTGTACAACAATGTAAATGTGCTGTCACCTCAAAGTAATGCAACAAACAACCATTACTGTAATGTCTAAAACTGCTGGCAACAAAAGTCACTTCATTTTTGTAGGAAGTCTCTAAAACAGCGCTGTACAATCCCTTTTCATTTGGGAACTGAACATTGACTATGGCAGTTTAAACTGATTAGCAAGAGTGGGAGCGTACGTTGTTTAAAATATATGAAAACACCATGCTAACTTAATGAATTAAATTCAAATTTTAATTGCTCATTAATTAATTCACTTGTTCTGTTCCTGCTCGGTCAGTGTGTTGCATCTATTATTTATAATATAAATTTAAAAACATTAAAAAAAACTAACAAACTTTGTCCCAATGCTGCAATTAACTAAGCTCATTAATAATTAAATAACTATTTTACTATTTTCATGTTCCATCAAGTCGTGTTCAAGCGTGCTTTTCCACCTCTTTCTGTTTGATGGGAGGGTGCTTCTGCCATTCTCCTGACAGCAAGCGCAGGGCTGAGAAAAAAAACACACACAAAGTGGTTGCAGAGTCTTGCAAAGGTGTTGCTTGGAAGACAGACACCTGGTGTCCAGCACTTAGGGACAGGCTCTTTTGAGACTGGATGTCGGATTGCCTCCTAGAAGAGATTTGTGCTTCACAAAGCATTCACAGAGTAGGCTTTCCCAGAAGCAGCTGGGAAAAGCAAAACCAGTATCTGACACAGAGAGAAAGACGGAACAAAGTTCCAGCACCAATGCCAACATTGGCAATTGTATTCGCACCGAAATGAAAACTGCATGAAGGTGATGGGGTTCGCACGATTTATTTATGAATTGCTCAAAGGAAAACTAAGCAACAGACAAACAAAATCACAAGTCAGAAGAAATGTGTTGCAACTAAGAAGTTTTCAACAAGGTCCTCAAATCCTAGAATTCCCACCTCCTGATTTGTGCTGGCAAAGCAGTTTGAGGAAAGAAAAGTTGCTGTGACAGCGAAGGCCCTATTGCTGGCTGCCATGAATCAGACCTCAAGGCACCCCCAGAAGGGGATATCTTGTTGACTCCAGTGTCTGAAGGAGCAAGTGGACATTCTGCTAATCTAATGTCAGGGTTACCAATGCATGAACTAGAGTGGTCAAACTACCCCTTATCCAGAAATGGCCATAGTGGCTTGCTGTCACAGCTGGTAAACTGCATTCCTAACCACCAAAGGTTCCCGCATCTCCCGTGCAAGTGCTGGTACAAGCCACACCCTCCCTTTCCAAGACTACACATCTGCTCCTTCAGGAAAGTGCAGCTGGAAGTGTCCCGCTTATTAGATTCAAGAAATAACTCACCCACAGAGCCTCCTTCTTGACAGACAGTTTATTAGCTCTCGTCCTGCCCACTCAGAAACCAAACATCAGTTCAAAACATGTACTGTACCACATTTCCTGACTGAATGCCTGGGAGCGCACCCCACTCGAAGCCCACAGAGAACTGCTCCTGAAGTTGTCACACAGATGTTAAATAGCAGTGGGGACAAAATAACCCCCATGACATCTCACAGTCTTAAATGCCTTGGAAATAATGATCGTACACAACCTGGCTGGCATCCTTAAAAAATGATGCTTCTCAATACCTATGGTACAAAGTCAGTCCAGGACATCACTGTCTCAGACGATATCCAAAGCCACTTAGAATCAGTAGGAGCAAGAGGACTACACTCCCCTCTCAGTTTTCTGGTGAGGGTAATCCACCAGGGCAAACTAATCAATCTCAAAACTGACAACCCCCATTAACATGACTTTGTTGTGATGTTAAGGGGTTTTTTTTGGGTGACCAAATGATTGCAATTGCCAGTGGCCTAAGGCGGACTTCTTAAGGAACAGGGGCACCATCTTCTCAAAAGGATGCCTTTACTCACCCAGGATTCACTGCCGTGGACTGGGCACCCTGGCTCTCAAATTAAAAGTGGGACTTCACAAAAACTCTCAAAATAAGATTACTTGGATATTTTTAATGGTTGTTGATACCACCAAGCAGTGACTCTGAAGACCACATGAATCCAGGCATAGAACTGCCATAATAGCAATGTGGGTACAACAGCTACTGCCTGAAAGTAAGAAAAACGGTCTTCTAACTTTCACAGTGCTTATTTTTTAAATAGCAGCATGCCTTTGATAGAAAGTGTCAAATCAAGCCTGTACTCTCTCTCAAGCAAAAATATTACACTGAGGCTGCCCTAGCAAGATTTTCTCGAATAGACAATAATGCTGGAAAAGGTGGAAAGCCGCAGGAGAAAAGGAAGAGCAAATATGAGAAGGACGGCTTCCCTAAAGGAAGTCACCGGCATGGGTCTACAGAAGCTGAGCAGGGCTGTTCACGACAGGGCATTTTGGAAATTGCTCATTCACAGGATCATCGTAAGTCAGAGGCAGTCTGATGACACATAACAACATTTCATGTTGAAAGTCATTCATTCATTGAGGTGACACGGTGGGATGTAACAACATGTTTTGTACACCTTGGCTCTGCTTCTCGTCTTTTTCATTTTATGTATTAAATTTCATTAAGATGTACAACTAATACGACTGTCTAACAGGAAAAAAATACGAAGAATTGTGTCATCAAGTTATAATCCAATTTTTAAAATACTGTTCTTTTCCTGAATAAAGCATTTTAGACTATCACAACCAGCTGTCTCCCCATGAGCAGAAAGAAAACTGTTACCTATAAACCCTTTCTCTTTCAGAGTTGGTACTGATGCCTCTCACTGGGCAGGGCTATTTTCATGTCAGATTAATTTGTCCAATTTCATAGGGAGCAGGACTTTTATGGGGCAATCTTTTCTTTGATACTTATTAAGCTAGCATTTGTACATCTCTTCAGGTCAAATGACCGCCCCTCCTCGCAAATTACTGGGATAATGTGTTATATTCACGCTTGATAGAACCATGTGGGAACAGGCATGTCAGTCTTTTTCCTACATGCTATATTCACTATCTCCTCTTCTAAATAGCTTTCTGTCACATTCTGGGACAGTGTTATATTGACTACAAGTGAAGAATAGTCTTCAAAATGAAGGCACAGACTAAAGCCAGTGACTATTTTGTGTAGACTGAAGATCAACGGTTGAATAGAATTGTATGAGTATGCTTTAAATGAATGCTGGAAATTATCTTTCTAAGTTAACAATTATTTTAATTACACAAGGCACGTTACACAGGCATGGATAACTATAGATTTTGGTTTAACATTCCTTCCAACTGCTGTTGAACTTTCACATTCCTGCACTTATGAGAGTGACAAGATTCCAAACAGTCTCTCTTTTTAGATCACTGCATCCACATGCATAAGGGAATCAAAGCATGCATTCCCTTGAGCAGGACCAAAGAAGGCACAAATCTCCACCCATGTGAGATACATCCAACTCCAGCAACTGTGAATGAACATAATATTGTGAGGGATTTAGAGAACATCATCCAGTAGCACTAGGCTAGAAGCAATTTCAACTTCAAATATGAGAGCATTTTCTCACCACCACCCCTACAATCCTCTAGACTATCCAAAACCCTGGCTCTCTAGATGCTTGTCCAGGCCTCTCAAGAAGGTTGCAGGAGTGTATGAGGTGCTGCCATAAGGAAAAGGGAATTGCCTCTGTCAGAAGACTTGTTTGTCACAGGAACCACTCTTTTACATTCCGGTCATTGTTTGCCAAAACAGTCACTGTATTATTATGTCAATAAAACAGACATTTTCCATAAATGCATTTGGAATTGGTGCCTAATCAATTTCAGGCTACATTCTTCCCATAATTTTGCAAAACATCCGTTGAGTTTGTGGGGAGAACTCAAGAAAGTGGCCAAACCCATACCCACGATGATGCATGACACTTTTATCTTGTTCTTCATAATAACAGAATGAATTATCTTTTCATTTAGAAACCCACGTAAAATGGGAAGAACTCTGGCGCATTAAGTCACTCATGAAGGATAAATGCAGTCACAAGGCTTGGGCTGCAGTTGTGAAAGTGTCTGCTGGACAGGAGGGAAGCAAGTCAAGCCAAGCCAATGGGGTTCAACTGATAAGCTCAATGGCAGTGCTTTGCACGAAGAGACTCCCAGGTTCAATATATGGCATCTGCTCTTCAGGAAGGTTCTAAGAAGTGGGGAAAACCTCTTTCTGAGAGCTACTGCTGGTTAGAACAGCTTAACATTGAATCAATAGTCTGATGAAATAAAAGGCAGCTATGTGTGTGTTCTTCCACATGGCTCCCAATTAGTGTCAATTCCTGAAGACCTGAGTGGCGATTATTCCAAGTCCTTTCCATGTGCAGCACCACAAACAAGTAAACAATCCACTCTGTACTGCAGGATGCTGCAAGGAGGACCACACGAGGACATGCATGGTCCCACAGCTCCTATGTTTTTACTGAGTGATTTTCAACAGGTATGCCTACTTGATCTCCCTGTTGCTGAGGACTAGTCGTTGCAGGCTGCTGAGATGAGAACTGTGAGAGCTGCTGCTGCTGCTGCAGAGAGTTGAAAATCAGTGACCCGCCTGGAAGCTATTCAAGGGTAAAGACAAGAGACATAGATCAGGTTATAAGACTATCTTGTATTGAACACAACCGAAAACACACGACTTGCATATTGTATTCTGATTTCATTTATGATTTCACTGAAATCAGTTTTGCTACTTTTTTAAAAGTAGACCAGTTATTATTTTTTTTAAAAAAATATTTATTAAATGCCTTTGCATTTAGTGGGTTGTAACCCACTAGACCCTACCCCCCTATAGGATCCTTCCCCTCCTTTCAAGAAAAATTGTGTGGTTCTGATACAGGGCCTCAAGGTTCTATATGACAAAAGAAGCCCAAACATCTGGTTACAGCAAATTACACTTCATGCAGTCACAAACAAAGGCCTAACCTACCTAATCTGTAACCGGCTGAAATCCTGTTGTTTAGCATAATAAGACACACTTAAGTGGGACCAGTAAATCGGTGGGGATTGGGTGTGTCAACTCCTCTGTAAATTCCATTGACTCAAAGTGGCCTACTAGAGTTGTGACTTACCTAAACACAGAAAGTCACAAGGACAGGCCTGTCTGCATGTTAGTTGCACTAGAATTAATTGCACCACTTAATCAGTGCAAATTTGGGGATTCAACGGGTCTACTTTAGTGTAGTTTCATTGGGCAGCAGGACTTCAGCCACTGTCTGCCAGACACCAACTCATTCCATCCGCCAACAGATCAGAACTGCCAGACTAGGGCTTGTGGAAACAGCTGCAAAGTGCAAGGTGGAGGAATCAAATTTCCTTTTTATCAATAACAGCAATGTGTGCTGAACTCCACCTGCTGCAGCAAAGAGACTGCAAGAAAATGATGGCAGTCATTGAGAATATCAATAATTCTATACCAGGGTTTTGCTGCCAATCCCCAAACACAATCTGTTCTGATTTCCAGCAGAGAATGGTTCTGTTCTCTGGTCAAATACATTATTCCAGTCTTAACAACCTCCTCTATGTATTTGTTGATATAACTTTCCTATTCTTTATTTTAATGCCACTTTTCCTTTTCTTTGTCAAAGGAGACATATAACGTAGAATCATGAAGTTAGACAGGGCCTGTAAGGCCATCAAGTCCAAACCGCTGCTCAATGTGGGAATCCAAACCAAAGTATATCTACTAAGTGGTTCTCTGAATTTCTCTTGAATGCCTCCAGCGTTGGAGCACTCAACACCTCTCGAAGTAACTGATTCCTATGTTGTACTGCTCTAACAGTTAGGATCTTTTTCCTGATATTCAATTGAAATCCGTCTTCCTGTAACTTGAGCCCATTGTTGCATATCTGGCAATCTGGGATGATCGTGAAGCGATACTGCCCCTCCCCTGCATGACAGCCTTTCAAGTCTTCGAAAAGTGCTCTCATATCTCCCCTCCGTCTTCTTCTCTCAAGGCGAAACATGCCGAGTTCTTTCAGTCTTTCCTCATAGGGCTTGGTTTCCCAGCCCCTTAAATCATCCTTGTTGCCCTTCTCTGAACTTCTTCCAATTTGTTAGCATCTTTCTTGGAATGCAAAACTTAAATATGTGAAATTTAAAGAATAAAAAGATATTTTCAATAGGATGCATGTTTTTAAATAATTGGTCAAAGCAGATTATCCCCTCTACATTTACATCATCTTTATCCTTGCTCACACATCTATAAACATCAATATAAGAATAGTTGTTGTGGGTTTTTTGGGCTCTTTGGCCGTGTTCTGAAGGTTGTTCTTCCTAACTGCTGTCCTCTGAAGATGCCGGCCACAGAGACTGGCAAAACGTTAGGAAGAACAACCTTCAGAACATGGCCAAAGAGCCTGAAAAATCCACAACAACCATTAGATCCTGGCCATGAAAGCCTTCACGAATACAATATAAGAATAGATTGAAGTACAAAACTGTACAATTTACCTGGAGCAGATTCAAAGAGCGAAGGCCTGGAGCATTTTTCAACCCAAAAGGGCCACCTGCTGAGATTAATTTAGATAAGACAATGTTGTGATTTCCCCCTCTGAAATCCATCTGAACTAGAGGGAGAACAGTACTGCTGAGCAGTGGGGACAAAGTACTGTACAAAGTTTCTTTGAAAATATCTTACTGTGCCAGCTTAAACAGAGCAATGCAGCAGCCAGACTACGGACTGGGGCCAGTTATAGGGAGCCTATAACACCACTGCTACAAAAATTGCACTGGCGACCAGTCAATTTCTGGGCCCAATTCAAAGTTTTGGTCATTGCCCATAAAGCCCTATATGGCTCTGGTCCAGGCTGCCTTCCTGTATGAGCCTTCTCAGTTTTTCAGAGCACCAGACAAAGCCCTCCTCTTGGTCCTATTGCCAGTGCAGGATAGTTGATGGGGACATGAGGGAAGGTTTGTGTCTCTGGCTACTCCCAGGTTATGGAATGCTCTCCCCTCGAGAGGTCAGGTTGGCCCCCCTCCCTTTTATCCTTACACTTTCAGCTAAACACCTACCATTTCAGGCAGGCCTCAGACAAATATAAAAAAGTCCCCGGACACTGTTGTTTTTTTTTTTTTAAAAAAAAACTTAATTTGTTTTTAAAGTGTTCAATGTTTTCAACCATTCAATATATTTTAATCAGTATTACAGTTTAATTATTTTTAATGTATAATTTATTCTGTTTTAGATTCCATTCTTTTTAATACCGCGAGGCACCTTGGGTCCCCTCACGGGGGGAAAAAGGTGACCTGTAAATAAGACAAACAAACAAACACAAAAGAATTCTAAACATTCAACATAAAATACTGAAATATGAAATATTCAGATTGCTACTCAAAAGCTGCCCCCCCGGTCTCTCTCCCTTATATACCTTTGCTGTTCAAGAAGGGCTGATTTTCACACTGACCTGGTTGAGAGGAGGAGGAGGGCTGTGTTGGAGCGGGCAAAGCACTTGGCACCAGACCTCCAGAGGGTAAAAGGGTGCTTAGATTTAAGCCTGCAGGGGTCATTGCACCAGTACTGCATCCCAGCATAGGGTTTGAGCCACTCATCAACGTCTGTGCTCCACTGTACAAAAGGCATGAGTAAACATTAGACTAACATCCCATGGAACCGCCTAAAGCAGCTGTTGTGCTACCCAACCCCACAGCAAAGACATGGATGCCATTAATCTTAGGGTTGTGCAGTTCGAAGAATTCGGTTTATTTCACCCAGAAAAGCATTCAACAGCAAAAATCAAATTTACTAGTCTAAAAGAAGCAAGCAGGAAATAGATTCACTTCTCTATGTATGAGACATTACTTAGCATTTTAGATACAGAGGTCCCCACAGTCACACAGAACTGTTCAAACCACCTCTCTCAAAGAAACGGAAGAATGTCCGAAGGTCATGTCAGAAAGCGTACGACTGCCCCTAGGTCTACCCCAGGGTGATTGGAGGACTACAGAAACACTGCCCCATCCAGAGTCCTTATTTCTCACCCTGCACTTCAGTGACAGTAAGAATACAATAAGGAGACCACTTCAGCTCCCAGATCTGAACATTCTTCATAAACCATACAGCAAATTCCTACTTTTTTTGCACCAAAGGAGTCCACATAAGGATGGGTACCAATGAGTGCTTATGGAGTATTTTGCAAAGTGCTCACTCCCAGCAATAGGAAACAATAGCAGCGGTGGGCCCTTCCCTTCCAGACAGAAGGTAGGTAACTCATCTGAATCATGAGACCCTTCTCAAGTCCACCACATCCTCCACTTGTCTCGAGAGAACAAAAAAAAAGAAAAAGAAAAAAAAGAAGGAGAGAAGTTCGTATAGAAAGCAAAAGGGAGAAAACATGAAGAGTCCAAGCCACTCACCACACAGAGCCCACTACATTGATGAAGTTAAGTCCTGAAGTACTGGTCATGACCTGGGTGGAAGAGGCTCCTGTAGTAACGGAGGTTACCATGGTGGAAAGAGGAACGGTCATTACAGGCAGTGCCTGGCTCAGAGATGCTTGCTGCTGAGCAAACGGGGTTAGCAAAGTGGGCTGAGGGGCGAAGCCTGAATCTTGGGGAGTAGGGGTAGCAGAATGGGCAATCAGAGTTGAGCTCTGAGCATCAGGAGGGTGTGGGGTCGATGAAAGGGTGTTGGTTGGAGTAGGAGTAGATGGTTTAGGAGTTCCAGACCCTGCTCATTGAGAAAAATAAAAAGCACTAGTTTGTTACAATAGGCCAGTCCTTTCATAAAAGAAGGTTAATGGAATGTTTAACTCTGAGAGCTTGCTGCAGCTTGAAAGGAAGAAACAGCAACCTGCAAGTGTTAGTGACTGCTGCCCCTGGCGGATGCAGCACATGGCATGGCATCCTCATTATGCTTAAGCTTCAAAACCAACCAACCAATTGTATATATTCCATTGGATCATTCTAACACCGATGGCACACTTGCACCACATTCCTCTCACAAACAACTTTGTCAAAGTGAATGAGATCTTTCAATACAGCAGTGCAAAATGAATGCAACCAACATGTACAGACTAACAGTACCATATTACTAGAACAGAAAGGGAAACAACTTTAAGAAAAGACAAGACTATTGCCAAATTGGGAAAAGCAGTGCAACTAGTTATCTGTAACTTTGTTTGCTCAACTTAAGACTAATCACAAAAGGAAGATATTAACAATGCTTGTGGCAGAAAAGAAATACGATGTGTTTTTAATATAAAGCATAAATTTGGCAGGAAGACAGCATATTAAAAAAATGGAAACAAAAAAAAACCCCAAAAGCTCTCAAGGTGTTTTCGTTTTATGTTTGTTTTTTTTAGCTTTCATGTCCTGCAGAAAGAAAGGAAAAAAACGTGAATGTCTAGAAGCTGTGGGCAAAGCCTTACGTACAGCAACAACTGTGCACAACATACTTATACAATACATACTATGAACATAAAAAGATGTTGTGGAAGTGAGGCTTGTGTTACTCAAACTGTTGGAAAATTCACTGACCCTTCCTTACGTATTTTCTTTATGCAAAACAGGAAGGCTTAAAAGCAACACCTTTTGAGCCAGCCAGCCAGTTGTTAGACTGTGCCAAACTCAAGCCATAAAGCTACAGTAAACGGAAGACAGAAGAACGGAGCAAGTAGTTGTCTGTGAGTGATTCTTAACAGATCCCACACCCGGGCTCCAGTATCAAATCGCTGAGCAAACCGTTTGGAGGCTGGCAAAAATTCCAGAGCTTAGTTTTTATTTAAGAAATTTATGATAGCGATACTGCCCTGAAATCCAAACTCAACTCAGGAAATACTTAATACATTTCATTGTTAGCTTGAAATGACTGTCATTTCCATTATCAGCAATGATTTGTAAAACAATATAGGAGTGTTTTATAAAATCAGTTTATAGTTTATTGTATTGCCACCGTGAGACTGATCATGTTATATACACATACACAGTTACAACTGCACCCATATTTGATAACATTTAAAATTTTTAGCTGCTTCAAATATTGCAAACGAAAGTTGGTTCTTAATGAGCTACTGTTGATACACTGGTGGAAAAACCTGCACATTGGGAACGCCTATGGTCACATTAGTTATCCGGCCGTGTTAAAGAGACCAAAGCTGATTGCATAAAATGAGATTAAACGTATACACAAAGGGTGCATACATATATATTTATACAGAAAAACAAATACATTTACAGCAAACAAGTACATACAGTCAACAAGAAGCCTGCCTTAAATGTTGCACAATTCGTATACAATAGGGGACATGATGGCCACTGAGGTTCTTCAAACAACTAGTTAGAAAGTTTACCACGAGAGGCCTATGAAGACTTAATGGAGAATTTAGGGCGTGACTCACTTTGTGAAGAGCTGGCAGGAGACATGGCGGCAGGAGAGAGCATGCTCAGCTGGTTCAGATCCAAAGACTGCTTCCGAGACCCCGTGGGAGGCTTGAGGGGAGGGGGAGGAGGGGTTGGGGATTTGAGGTGGCCACTTGGCTGCTGAGGACTAAACATATTACCTGAAAAGCACAATTAACCTATATTACATTCTGTGAAACAACCTCAGGGAGACTATTGTATCTTCCGAAGTTACACCGCACACTGGCCCTCTACGATGACAAAGCGCAAAGCCTAAGCAGCAGGACTTGCTCTCTACAGCAAGGGACAACCTGGATTCGTCTACAGAAGGAACCGGTGCCCTTTCTTTACTTCTTCCTATCCCGGTCTGAAGCAGGAGGGACCCTCTGCGACGATCTCTCTTTTACCATTGGAAGGAACAACTGCCAGTCTATGGGGTCGGGAAGGGGTGGTGGTGGAGCCTATCTAATCAAACTGCTGAGAAGGAGACGGCTTTAGCCCCTCAGCAGATTGAGGCAGGAAAGTCGCATCGTGCAAGCTGGTTAGGGTAGCATACAGAGAGAGAGAGAGTTGAGCAGACTAGAAAGGCAGATGTGCCTTCCAAATTAACAAGCTATCTCATCAACAAGGCTAGGAGGTACAGGGGTTTCTCTTTCCATGATTAAGCAAAGCAAAAAAAGTGGTCGAAAAACACTTACCTGAAGAGCTACTTCCTGAACCTGAAGGTAATTTGATGGGAGGTGGCCGGTGTTTCACTCCTTTCCCCAGTACGGAAGACTGTATATAACCTGCTACGCTCTCAGGCTGCTAAAATATACATATACACAAAAATACCAATAATATAAATTAGGGTGAACATTCATAAAGAAATTCTACTGGTAAATCTACTGGCAGATAAGGTTCCCGCTAATTTTCCGCCTCCCTGGGCGGGGCTCTGCCCCTCGTGTGTGTGACTCTGCCCCCCCCCGCGCACGCACAAGGATCCACTGCGACCAGAATCAAAGGGGCTGGAAATGATGGAGTCACATGCACTTTAGAGGGAATCTTGCTGGCAGAGTGTACTGACATGTCTAGATCAACATATTGGCACCTATTCCCTTCCTTCAATGCCAGGATTCAGGAAACTCGAGATTCCTCAGATCTTCACATTATTTCTATAGAAAACTGATCATCAGAATGTTGACATGTTTATCTGAACCACTGGAAGAAGGAAATGTGTCCCTACGAAAAGGGTCAGGACTCCCATCCTACATGATTCGAGTACTTCTGAGTAATGTGGAGTCCTAATTCTCAACACAGGGTGCACATTAATTGCCCAACAGGTTGATTTATCAGAATGTTCTTACGAAATTCAACTTTAAATAAACTAATTCTAATCTGGTGTAATTAATATTTATACGTGCTGATGACACTAATATTCCAGAAGAGGATTACTGTATTAGCCATCTTCTTGCAAAATTCTGTCACTGTTTTGAGTTGCTATAGTGGGGAAAAAACTGTACCATCTTCAGAAAATTTGGACAGAAAACCACCTTGGTGCTGTCCTGTCCTCTTGCATCCATCCTTGTGGATTTTCAAGGACAAAGTAAAAGGAGGCATGTTCGATTGAGCAAGCTTGGATAATACAAGGCACTGCTTACACTACAGATAGCATTTTTGTGCAAAATGCCATCAGTTTTTAAGATTTGGTTTGGCAACTGTGCTTACAATTGGATTTCAAGAGCTCTCCTTCACAAAGCTAGTCTGGTTTTGTAGTCAGGGTTGTCTCCATCCATCTCATCTAGCTTAATTCTACACCCACACACCCACACAAAATGTATATGTCAAGTCATATAATATATAATCAAATATGCTTTTCTTGTGTATATGAAATATTTCTTGTTCTATTTATAAATCACAGCTATTTTAACAGGAAATATTCTGCATGAAATCTTTAAGTAATACATGCTGACTGTCATTCTTTTCTAAATTTTGCATTAGTAAAACAAACTTCATTTGACACCTGATATATACATTTTCAAGCTCTTCATTCCCAGGTATAAATGAAATATGGTGATAAAAATCATCATTTGGTGAATGAAATAAGAAAAGTTAGAAAAACACCTGTACAGGCAACACCTTTGGTTTCCATCAAATATCAATTTTTTCTTTCTATGTTCTCTCATCCTTCATACCTTTTTGCTCATTCCTAATTTGAAGGGAGAATGATCTCTGAGGTCCTATTTATTTATTTCCTATATGTCCCTCCCTAATGGTAATAGTATCCAAGTCCCTGAGTCCCTGAGCTACCAATATTCTGACATATTCCTGTGTGACCAGAAACAGAAGTGGAGATGAGGCCATACTGGTAGGAGCCACACTGACTGGAGTGGAGCAGTGCAATTCTAGAACGTAGTTAAAAGATGGTGCCTGGCAAGTTTAGCCCATGAATGGCACCAGTGAGTGTTCTTTGCTTTTTTCTATGGAGGTCATATAGTTTCCATTCCTCAGATGACAAACAGCAAAGTTATGCACTTGAGGACAAAATTCTACCTATGAGTCTGTGTTTCCTGAGCCATTTAAATACTCTGAAACTTCTGCAGGACTGTCCTGGCAGAACGGCACCTCTGCTGAGACACAGCTGGCAATTTTGAAGAGCCTGAACAAGGCGCTTGTTGTGACACTTGTGGGTGCTCTATAGATTCTGCTAAGTAGCTCTTAAGTACTAAATCCAGCATTGCTGCGGGATAGTACAATGGCACCTGGGTTAACTTATCAACATGCATTTTTTTAAAATGAGAGATTAAATAGAATTTTCAATGGGTACTAAATAGCCTCTTATATCCAGTAACAACTTACTTCAATTTCTTTCCCAGGAGAAAGCTGACTCAGATGGATGGATCCACCTGCGTTATGAAGCATCTTCACAGGACATTTTGCTTCGTTTTGAACTAGATCCTGGTATTGGCTGACCACTCTGCAGCATGACATTAAACAAAGGGAATCCATGAGATCACAAGTATTGCCCAGATACAAAATAAATATCTGAGTCTTTTTGTGTGTTTGCTATGATGTATGCAAAGAACAGCTATTGCTCTTTTATTAAAATCTTCATGTCTCAGATTTTTTTATTTGTAGTGCTCTCTGAGCACAATACTTCAGCAATTTCTATAAACAGGATCTCAGCTATTGTTGTGGCAAAGGAACAGCATAATGACAAAAACACATGTGGGAAATGAAAAAAAAAGCAACCAAAGGACAGACAGGAACATGATAATGGCACCACGATGTGCCCGTTGTTTTGCCAAACTGTGTACAGAACATTCCCCACCGATCCATGCAGAAAATGTTCTACCTTGACCAGAGTAATAGCAAACAAAGGAGTCAGAAACAACTGTTCCTTCATGTTTAATAAAAGCTGAAAGTGAGACACACTTTAGGAAAAGATTAACTTCCTCCCTGCTGCAGAGGGACCATGGGTTTTAGGAGAAGAGTCAGTTCCCAAACAAGGCACCAAAGGGAACTGGGGGACAAATCAAGAGAGGCACTGTGGCAAGAGGAATAGTTCAGCCACTTCTAAGAGTCATGAAAAAAATTGATTGACTACCTACCGTTCTGCTTCTGATTTTGAGCCAATAAGAAAACTGCAAACAACAAAATACAGCAATTACAGGCAGGATTAGGGGAGCAAAAACAAACAGCATATGTATGACAATCTGGGCAACCCCTGGCTAGAATGCCAATATTCTGTAAGTTTTAGTGTTGAATTAGGACTGGGGAGACTTAGATTCAAATCCCATTCAGCTCACTGGGTGACTCTGACCCATCACCATCTATTAGTCTTACTGAAGATGAACGGGTGGAAAACTGCAGCCTTGGAGGAAGAAAAGGATATTAACATAAAATATAAATAGCTACTAGCTAACCTCCACATTTAGACACAATTTACTTATCAATACAAGACAAAGGGAACAAACAGGAAAGCTAATACCCGCAGGTTCTAGAGATATTTAAATAATTGACTATTTTGCTGTATTTATCTTCATAGTCATTCTGACAGCATTCAAATGTACCAATCAACTATGCTCTTACATCTCAGTAAGAATAAGCCCAGTTAAGCCTTGAGGTTGCAAACAATCCTCACCATCTCCTTTACTGGACCCGTGAGGATACTGAAGTTTTTACTTCCAGTTTTATTAACTGTAGCTTGTTGTTTCACTTAAACCAAGACAAACTGCAGTTAGCCTTAATTATGCTTTATTAAAACCTTTCAGCTTCAAGTCACTATTTAGAGAAGTAGCTTGTTTCAATAAACTATAACTGGAATTAATCAAGTTTATGGTGTGGATGTAAGGTTAAACTGCGGGTAACCGAAAATGGGAAGCAAACTTCCCATCTTCTCGCAGTGACAGTCCAGCAAGAGGACCTGCCTTGGTGAAAGGGGATAGGAAGGGCGTGACTAAGCCTTGCCAAGACTCATTCATCTAACACCAGGACATCATAATTTATCACTATGGCTAAATACAAACACTGACAATAATGATCAAATGCGGATTTATGTTCTTTAGAAACATTTCCCATATTTATAAAATGCAAATGAATCATACAATTTCACCTTCCCTAAATCAGCAGAAATTTGTCCCCAAAGTTTTTTTTTATTATGATAGATGCCACTGTCACTTTTCTCCAGGATCGAAGACAAATGCTACTTACTGTGATGCAGTGACTGGGCTCTCACTATCTTCATCACTTTTTATCATTTGTATTTTACCATAGTATAATGGATTTCCCATGGACTGAAAAATGGTCAGTTTTGTTTTCTGAGGATGATTTCCATTTTCAGACTCAAAGATATAATCATCTTTTATTTCCTATGGAAGAAGAAACAGCTATTTATGCAAGCAGCTAATCTCCCAAAAGTTCCTGTAAACACATACACTAAAATGAGGTTAACCACTGGAGAGCACTTCAGAGAATATAAACCACTTTTTAAAGACTTTGAATGTTATGATTACCAGGTTATTTGGAATTACATAGATACATTATTATTACAAAAAACTCTGCCTTCCCAACCATCTCCTTAAGCATCGCCTTAATCTCCAAAACTCCTCATTTTCTCTTGTAAGGCCACACTAAGCTGAGATTTAAGCTACAATTGCAAGAAACCAAAACCCACGGTGTACAATTGGAATTCATCTTAATACAGTGGTGCCTCGCTTAGTGACGTTAATCCGTTCCAGGAAAAACGTTGCTAAGTGATTTCATCGCTAAACGGAATAAAAAAGCCCACAGAAACGCATTAAAATGTGTTTAATGCGTTCCTATGGGCTTCAAAACTGACCTTATGCGAAGATCCTCCATAGGGGCGGCCATTTTTGGTGCCTCTAAAGTGAGGCAAAACAGCGGGTGGCCATTTTGGAACCGCCGATCAGCTGACAGAAAATGGGGGCTTTGTGATGATCGCTTCCCCACGATCATAGCAAAGCGATTTTTCCCCATAGGGGCCATCGCTAAGCGATTGCTCTGGCGATGGCCAAAACCCCATCGCTAAGTGATTTCATCGCTCAACGGAGCGATCGCTAAGCGAGGCACCACTGCACTTATGGGAGGGGTTCTCGCTGTAATCTGTAAAGGACATAGTATCTCCTTACTATGTTAGTGCCTTAAGCTCTACCACATTCTTAATGCTTTTGAGGCATCTAAACATATTTTATTCACTTCTCTAGAAGCCTAAACAAGGGCACTTCTGTACATGAAACACTATAACGACAAACATATTCAAATACATTAGTTTCCATTAAAATCAGAGATCACATCCACCCAATTTTGCCAAATATATAACCAAACAATAGACTAAACCTTTCTGACTGTTCAAATACTTCAGTAAAATCCCAACACACGCTACCTATCAAGAATAGAAATGCAAATTGGTTCTATTCACAAAACCACCAGCAACATAAAATTATTGCCAAAGAAGATAAAATTAGCCTGGAGAGTCACTCCAGGAGATCAGGTGGCGATGTTCTGCAAAACACTAACCTCTTCTGAGTTCCCAGACTATCCTTACCTTCTTCCAGAATAATGTGAAATGAGAATCTCAGTTTAGTCATTTCAATCCACTTAAATTCTGATTGTTCATTATGCCCTCATTTTTATTTATTTATTTTATTTTTAAAAACTTATATGCCATCCACACTACCCAAAGGTCTCTGGGTGGATTACAACCATTTAGAACACAAAGTCTCCCAAAGTTACTCACATGAGCTGGCCAGACCCTTGGCTGTGAGTCATCAGGTTTGATGGATTTTTCTACTTTAGCATATTTTTCCACCTTAATATACATAAGAGAACGATGTGTTAAAATGTCAGTATATAACAGTGAAAGCAACAATTGCTTCAGTGTTCTTAAGCAGCAAACAAGCATAGAATTGGATTAAAAGGATATCAACATTACAAAAACTATTTTAAAAAATCAGACATATTAATGATTCAAACTGTTAGCAAGAAGACCAGAACCCCAGGAAGGCCTTCCCAGGTTATGATACTTGGAACTGCACAAATGCAACACAAAATATTTCCAGGAGAAGCATGAATATTAGCCGAAATACAAAAAGGTCCGGTTTGTATGTGTGCATGCATCTTGATGGATTTCTCCCTGTGTATATACAGCAAATATCTGTAAATAGGCCAAAACTTTTTTTTTTACAACTAAGGGAAACATCACAAAAATGTGGGGGTTCTGCAGAATTTCTCAGCAGTCAGGATGCGAGAGAATGCACAGTGTAAGGGAGGCAAGGAAATGGCCTCGGCTTCCTCTCTACTGTATGATCTTTTGGTTCATTTTAACAAAAATATTATCAATGTATTCTCAAAGGCTTTAATGGCCAGGATCTGATGGTTGTTGTAGGTTTTTTGGGCTCTTTGGCTGTGTTCTGGAGGTTTTTCTTCTTAATGTTTCACCAATCTCTGTGAATGGCATCTTCAGAAGATAGGAGTTAGAATCCAGTACATATGTGTTTTGAAATAGGATTTCATGTCCAACTTGTTTCAGGGCATGTTCAGCTAATGCCAGTTTTTCCAGTTGTTTTAATCTGCAGTGCCTTTATTATATTAATATTATCCAACAATAGTTTATAAAACATTTTCTTAGGGGTCAACACAGCTACCAACAGACTATTCCAACATTATTTCCAATTAGACTAGAACCGTCAAAATCAATTGGGTGTATCCAATTCAATTAGTCTACTTTAATAATTATGTGCCATCAAGTTAATTCTGACTTAGGATGACTTGAGATGGGTATGAATCACTTTATGCCAGGTTGTTGTGAGTTGTTGGCACATTCCCTTTCCCTCCAGCCCCGCTGGCATGTGCTGTTCTCTCCCTCCTCTTCATGCAATCTTCCAGTACTGGCAGGAGCATAGGCTTCCCTTCTCCACCTCCTCCAGCAGCCGCCCACTCAGACGAGGAGGCAGGGCAGGAATTCTTGCAGCACTGCCTTTGAGTGGGCAACTGCAGAAGGAGGCAGAGAAAGGAAGTCCGTGTTCCTGCTCGGACTGGAAGGTCGCACAAAGAGAAGGGAAAGAACAGTGCACAGTAGCTGGTGAGTGGGGGAGCTGGGAGGAGGAGTAGGGGAAGCGAATGTGCGGCACCATAGGTGCTGCACCAACAACTCACAACAATCCTGCACAAAGTGATTTATGCCCATATTTAATGGCAACCCTTTTCGGGGTCTTCTAGGCAGAAATTAGCTGGCTGGATAGGCCAGTAGTTTAGGTATCTGGCTACGGAACCACAGATTTGATTCCCCACTGTGCCTCCTGGGTGAAGAACCAGTCTGTGTAAGATCTTACCAATAGATCTTTCCAACCCGATGGTAAATCACCTCTGAGTATTTTTAAGCTAGAAGACCCTGAAAAGCGTTCCCTATAAGTTGAAAACAACTTTATATCTTGCAATTAGTCCACTTCATCTGAGACTAAAAACAGATTTAAGCTTTATGCTTTCTAAACAGTGGCTGTTGTTAGAACATATATAATTATTTTAAATAGATAAAATAAGATCTTACCAATAGATCTTTCCAACCCTCAGTTCAGAGGCCAATATCCTGCTCAATATTTATGTGTGTGGAGCTCCAACTGCGGAAACTGCCACAGCCATCTAATCAGGTGCCACTAGGTCACGCAACCAGGCAGAAAGTGGGCATCTCACAGGTAGCTGCAGCAACTTCTGTCATTGGAACTCGGAACATATTACTGAACAGGACATTGGCCAGAGCATTTCATTTTAAAAATGACATCCTTCTTAAACTATTTATTCACATGCTCACAGTACACAATTTGCCTTCCTTTCAGAAGTGAAAGACAAATAGTGTTTCATTTCCAAGTTCCATACATTCTTTGTATACTCACATCTACATCAGAAGGTGCAGTCAAATAGCAAGGATTCCGTTTCCACATATCTACACACTAAGAAAAGACAGAAAAAATACAGCCACATGAAAATAATCATTAGAGTGAAGTTTCCTCATTTAATTTCCTCTTTTTTTTTTCCTTTTACAGTTATACATACATTTCCAGCTTTGGAAATTTTGAGGTCATACTGCTGGGATCCTTTCCTTTCCCTTCTTTTTTGCAAATAATCAAACAACCTGAGCTGCGGTGGAGGTGGGCAATGAGACATTTCCTGCTGGCGACTGAAACATGGCCTGGAAGATCTCTTGAAGCACCTACAAGACATTGAGAATATTAAAAGGAAAAACAGACATAGTGGATCAAATTTAAATACGCTTGCGCTCACACAAACAACTAGCCAACAATTCAATCCTAAAACCTGCTATACAAGTTCTTTATAACATTCCTTGTTATCAATGAATACCTGTTTGTTACATGTTAGTTGACTACAGCCAAACTTCTATGTGTTCAGTTCTTAAGACTTCTGTTCTGGGATAAATTTGTAGCAAACAACTAGTTCACTGGATAGATTTTTAAAAAATTATATGAAATGTTTGATGAATTAAGTGAACTTTAAATGCATTTCCACTCTAAAGTGACCTATTTGCCACTCCAAACAGATTTTTGCAAGGTCCAGGACAGATACGCTTTATATTACCGTTTCAATGGGCGAGTATTCATCTTCTGCTTGTTATAAAGAAGTCTGTTTGCTGTGCAGGTTACAGCAATTGATGGATCGAGACACAGAGGTTCAGCGGTAGCTAGTATAAGCTGGCTTTCTAGCAGGAGTTTGTCTTCCTAAAACAAAAACAGAGAAGATTTTAAATCACAACAAAATACCATTGTAATTTAGTACATGGCTACAATCCTGTGGACACTGTCTTGAGGGTAAGTTCAACTTATTCAGGAAGAATACTTAAAACAGTATTTTTGTCACTCTTCAACATGATACTATATAGCAAAAATACAATATAAAATACAAATACCAGGAAATGATCACTCAGTTTCTAGATATGCTACTGCTTCTAAGTGGAAACAGAGAGAGATGGAGATTATGATTATTTCTGGTTGTAAGCAGTTTATTGTTCCAGCGGTGTGAAAGAAGACAGGGCGTCAGAAAAAGAACTGCCCAAACCCGACCCCTGGTTCTTAGAATCTGTTTCCCTAAGTACTGTTATGGTTTTTGGCAAAACCTTAACAAAATTATACTGAAACTGTTATTAAAATATAATGCATCATACTTGTATTACAAAACTGGACATTTGGGCATAACAGAAGAATTGTAGCCTGTACATCAGTCATTGTTTTACTGTCCTCTTTTATCAATTACAAACGACGTGTGAGACTGGACAGAAATCTTTGTGTGCAACAAGGTTGCTCTGCTTCTTCCTTCAGTAGGAAGCCACTTCTTGACTCTCCCCCTCCAAGTCACTTCTGAGGACCAAGGGGCCTTCCTGAGTGGTATGGGACACACTACGGAAGATGACCTGGGAAAGTATAACTAGAGGGCTGGAATTGGAGATCCCCACCGTACAAGCCTTCAATTCCTGCAAAAGATCTGATTAAAATCAACACGGGGTGGGATGAAGAAACACACAAAATTAAGTTTGGCCTTCTAAACCTAGGTAAAGGTAAAGGTTCCCCTTGACATTTAGTCTAGTCGTGTCTGACTCTAGGTGGTGGTGCCCATCCCTGTCTCCAAGCCATAGAGCCAGCGTTCGTCCGTAGACAGTTTCCATGGTCACGTGGCCAACGCGACTAGACATGGAACGCTGTTACCTTCCCACCGAGGTGGTACCTATTTATCTACTTGCATTTACATGCTTTTTAACTGCTAGGTTGGCAGGAGCTGGGACAAATGACAGGAGCTCACTCTGTCATGTGGATTCAATCTTACGATGGCTGGTCTTCTGACCTTGCAGCACAGAGGCTTCTGCGGTTTAACCTGCAGCGCCACCACATCCCTTCTAAACCTAAGAAAGATGTTAACCTAACTTTCTCTCTGACATGTTAGTTTACATCCAGAAGGTTAAATGAAGGCACATCCAATCACCTGGACCTGAGCTGTAGTTTGAACTGGGATAGCCCAGACGTAAGGACTGCCACTGCAGTAAGGGCTATGCAACTCCTGAATGGAATATAGTGCAACATAAATTGTTACGGCACCTCCTTGGAATATGAAAACCTCTTAAAACCAAGGTTACGGCTGCTACACTAGTTACCTGGGTCCATTTGTGGTTGTCACTTGTAATGGAATGCACATCACAAACCAAAGTCTAGAAAAAGAAGCGAAACCTTTTGTTACTCACATAACAAAGAATATTTAAGTACATTAGTTCAGAACTAGGTTTTTAAAATTAAAATAATGCTGTTTCTAGAAATATGAGAAACTTGCCTGCATTGTTGGACGTAAAAGAATATGTTTGGTTTGGTAAGTTGAAGATTTCTGATTACCAGACTGTCTATAATCACGTATTTCTGTTATCACACATCCGCAGTGAAAAATGTTGATCTATGTAAGAGCAAAAATAGATTTATCATGCATTCTTTATACATTTTCTGCGCATGTGAAAGTTCTTCAACAACTTCAACAACAATATATTTCAAATTAGGTCATGAATTTTCAAAATTTATAATCAGAAATTAAGGCTGAATTCAGACTTTAGGGCAACTTATGGTTTTCATTAAACACAGTTTAGAATACAAAGTATGGTTTGACTTTATAGACATGTAAAACAGACAGGCCACCACGCAATCATTTATATTTTTTACTGACATTTGAGTCTTACTGTGTTCAACAAAGTTTGCATTCAATATCCAGAGGTGTTCATCTGGTTGTTTATTTTTTGTTTGTTTGTTTGTTTTGCATTTTCAACAGTTTAGTTAGTTCAGTCCTATCTCCATGGTGTAGTAGCCACTGAATTGGGAAGGGAAAGCCATCATAATGGACTGTCCATTCAGCTACCATATAAAAATAGCACAAACTATAGTTTCCATACTTCAAATAGCATATTTCTTCCCTCTGGTCTGCCAGTCAATTACAAAACACAGATTGACCAGTCAAACATTATGCCAAACCAGAGTTAAGCTTCACATGGTCATTTGTTTGGTGTGATGTCTAAGAAAACTATCACTGTAAGTCAACTGAGACCTAAGAATTAAAATATGCAGGTATTTTAAAGATTGCCTTAACATGATTTAATACTGATATAACTGAATTGCAATTATTCTATGAACCGGTTTGTGGAGTGACACAACATATGAGGGCAACAACGGGATTTGGCTTCAAAGTAAGTGAAATTAACATCAGTCATGGTAGCAATCTGCAGTTAATTAGCAAGGGTCTGGTCACATGAACAGCCCCTTGTTAATTAACTACTTCACTTACTTCAGAGGAATAAAATCTCAATAGGATTGTGGCTAATAATGACTACCATCAGGACACAAAAGAAATACAGCTTCAAAGCTGAGAACACCTCTGGGAAACATTTCAAACCTGAGATTTTTCTAGGAGGTCAACTAAAATAGGAGGGAGCTCTTCTGCATCCAAAAATTCAAGCAATTCTCCTTCTTCATAGGGTAACCGCAAAGTTTCTGAATCTGCATTAAAATAAGAGAGTTTTAAAGAAAATACATTTTGTTTTTTAGATTGTGATTTTATTATGTTACATAACATGGAAAGCTAAAGAGAAATGTTTTAAGAAGGTATCAATTGAATGCATTATCTAAAGAGAGGCAGGCTTGATCATTCATGAACTTGCTACAAGAAATCTGTTTATGGTCATACCAAGTGTATAGGAGGCCAAAAGATCTTACGTTTTCTACATTAGGCTTTTTCTAGTTCTATCCTTGGGAAAAGACAGCAAAAGCACGGACAATACATTTCTTTAAGGCACATCAGCGCTAACGTTACCTGAGCCATTTTTTCCTCGGAGCATCAGTGAATATCCTTCGTTTCCAGGATACAGGTTCACCACAAGGCATGATAATGTTTCTTGCATACTTAACTTCTCCAACAAGTTCACATTTCGTCTCAGCTTCTGCTTTAAAATGGACAGTGTTCATGAAAATAATGCATAACTAACAGGGTTAGTTAATGGTTTTTCAGTCATTCTCTTACCAAAGTCTAACTTTCCTTCATAATTTTGATTTTAATTGACGAGTGTGACAGAAACATTATTGATTTATTTGTTATTAAATGTATGTTTCTCCCCCAAACAGGACAGTAACAATAATTGTTTTTTAAAAAACTTAAAATGCAAATTGTGTCTTCCAGGTAATCTCGATACTGAGATAACACCACAAGATCGAGAAGTTGGCATGAGAATAGCAAAGCGGCAAGAAACTGTCCAGTTAGCCAAGGTTCAGGAAGGGTTTTTTCAATCAAGTTTCATCAGTGCCTCTTTTAGGTACATTGTGAAGCTTCCCTCATTCACTCAGCCAGTCCCTTATGGCCACTCTTACAAGCCAAAATGATTGAAGCTCCAGCTTACATAAGTTGGCCCTCACTTTTCCCTCCCACACTTTCATCATGAACAAACTGAAAAGAAGGGTGGATGAAAATAAATGACTTTTTAAAAATAAAATTAAAAATGACTTTTTATTTAAATCAGATCTTTTTATTTAAATTGGATTTTCTTAATAAAATACCTTTTGAGGAAAAATCTAAAGATATTCTATTTAAGATACATTATAGTCTAAAGGTTATTCATCGTGAAATAAGGATTAGTTTTCCATTGTGCAGCATGAGCCTGTATATTCATGCAATGTATTCTTTTGGTAAATAAATTCCATTAATCCATTTACAATGTCATGCTCTCCCAGAGGTTCATTAGGCAATTTTTCTGTTTATAATATCTTATTTATGATGCCTGGTTTTATACTTCTCAAAACTGAATTTGTGTCTGCAGAGATCACAAGCCTCTTCTTCAAACCAAAACTGTGTAAAAGACACAGAATGGAGAACAAGACCTTAATACTAGTGTCCCTTTGCAAATCTAAGTACACAGAACCAACTCCTTGCGTTTTAGGAGCTAAGTTAAAAAAATGATCCAAAGGAAGATAATATTCTTTCTACACCAGCAGAAGAAGCTACTGCTGTTAAAAGTGAAATCATTACTTCAACAGTCTCTAAATCTAAGTGCTTAAATGACTTGTCCAGTTCATTGGTGGGATTTTCTTTAAAACATCATCAGTAAACATGTATTTCTTGAATGGTTCCCCTTAGCTCTGAAGTTTATTATAGTTGGCGCTATAGATGGATGACTGCCCATATCATAGCTAACTCTGCTTCCTCAGCACTTAAGGTTTGATCCTGGGCCAGATATTAACAATATTTGTGAGAAAATGAGCTGGAGACAGTGCTTGTCCCATTTGATTTTTTCATGCTTTTAATTTAATTCTGTCAGAAATGGTTTCAAGATAATCAATCAGTACATGTTCAACATTTCTCTTATGTTGAGAATTTTGGCTCCGATAATGTCATCTGTTTTCTCTCTATTTTGTTCACAAACTGTCATCAGAAGAGGCCAATTCTTAATATAGTGCTCAAACAGTCCACTACCGAGTTCCATCTTACATTGTGTAGGTGGTGTTAGCTTTGTTCCACCCGTTCTTTTCAGGGCTGCTGCTGAAAAAAGATTGTTACAGAAGTATTTAGCAATGCCAATGACATCAGCCTTTATTTCTGGAACACTTAAGTCTTTGACTAGGAGGTGCAGCAAATGAGCACTGCGACCATATGCTATTAGCTTTCTATTCCCTTCCTGCTTTCCTGAATTTCTTCTCATCTTGGATATATTTGCAGCATGGTCTGTGACCAAACTGCATACTAGACACTTCTTGTACAAGTATTCTACTGTGTGTGCATTTCCTGGCATATCAACTTTTCCTGCAAGGGCATTCACTTCTTCTTTTATTATACAAGCACATACAACAGGATCTCTGTGGAAATTACTCTGCTCATCAAGACTTAGGTTAGCAATTTTACTCTCTACAGCTGTTCCACATCACTCCATTTTTCTGTCACATCCAGCAGTTTCCCTGGAATATCTGCTCTCCTGGGTGGATTGTTTCCTGGTCTCAGTGATTGAACTGTATTAATGATTTGTGGATTTTCAATCAGATAAAAAAAGTGTTTATCACATAAACAAAATGGATCCCCCCCCATCAATTAACTTTTTCTAATTAACTGTTTTATCATGGACTTATCTATGGTGGTTCCTGGCTGGAGCTGCGAGATGTGTTAACTCTCAGCTTTGCCCACCTGTGTTCTCAGTGCAGCAGTAAGCTAGACCTGGGAGGTGGCACTGTGATTTAGTTCTCTTCACCAGGTGCCCAAGTCCTACAGCCTTCTGGGATCGTGTGTGCATATCTGAAACGGAGTGCCCAGGACAGAATACCACCCACTTCACTGCTCAACGTTCTCCCTCCCTGGGCTTACCTAGTTAGCCTCAGGAACCATGCTGGAGTCCTTTCGGGTTCTTATTCATGTTGAGACCCACTTGTTAGGAAAGGCTCAAGACTTCATATATTCCATGACAACCACGGGTCTGTCCCAAGTGGCATCTGGTCTGACTCATGTAGCAGAGCACACTTTATGCAGGAGTCGGGGGCTAATTATAATGATCCATTGCAGGAGGCTGATGGATCCAACTGATTTCCTGACAGCTCTCAGAAAGCTTCCTATCACCTTGGCATGCCATTCTACTTGATCTTTTCAATAAATCTTTACTGAAATATTTTACACAGCCCTGTTTTATGCAAACAACTTAGATAACTGTTAAGGCAATCCATAAACATTCTGTCAAGACAGTACTTAATCTCACTTTGCCACTAAGTTGAACAACATTCACTAGTGAGTTTCACCAGCTGATTGCAAAATGCAGGCTGCTAATTCAACAGCACAGACCAATGGTTTGGCAAATAGGTTCCACATACCTTTATTTCAGGTTCCTTATCACATTCTTCTAGATACAGTTCATACAATTTTTGAAACAGAGACTTTCTAAAATTGAAAAACAACATGAAACCCTCTTGAGTATTAATGTTATAAAGGTTTATGCTATATTATATTTGTTGAACCTTGGCATACCCAAGGACATTGTCATTTCAGAATTTCTAAACACTTCTCACCTTCCACCAGATAAATATTTTCGTTTGGGAGGCCTCTGGCGTGCACTTTCAATAATATACTGAAAGAAAAGGAAAAAACCACACACAGAGAAAAAACTTAAGAGGTGCATAGATGGTGCAAGCAGTTTTAAGAGTCATACCATAATAACAGTGATATACCTCTGTCTGCAATAAACTAAGCCTGGCCGATTTATAAAGCTAGCAAAAGGATGACTAATTTACATTTTTTTAAAAAACAAATCCATCTGCTTTAAGACCAGAATTAAAATTAGAAAATGTTTTCTCATCTCCATAAAGCCATGAAAATGACAGCTAGGGATGAGGCCTTAAACATGTCACATGGAAAAAGATGATGTACAGCCTTGCCTTATAAGTCTTCAGGCCCAAATCCTTACGGGAAAGAGAATGCTCCCTCTGCTGACAGTATAGTCACTAACTACCCAGTTTCCCCGAAAATTAGCCCTAGTATGATTTTTCAGGATGCTCGTAAAATAAGCCCTACCCAAAAAATAAGCCTGTTAAGTGAAACTTGCTCTCCACCATTGTGCAGCAACCAGAAGAAGATGAGAGGAGTGTATTTGAATAAATGTAGATTGTTGTACATGAAAAAAAAAATCCCCTGAAATAAGCCCTAATGCAGTTTTTCGACCAAAAATTAATATAAGACCGTGTCTTATTTTCAGGGAAACACGGTATTCCACTGTCAGTGTCATACATCATGTAATTCTATGGAAAATTCTATAGGTGAGAATCATCTTCCTACCACTACTCTTCAGATGGAATCGGCTACCCCAGCTTCTCTTATTTACTTAGAATAGTTCTACCCTGCCTTTCTTCCCCAAAAGGGACCCAAGGTGGTCAATCTGAAGGCCAGTCTCTTCAACCAGAGTTCTGTGAAAGAATTAAACAGACTCTCCTTATGGAGTGAACCTGGGTAAGCTTTACATCAAGCGTAAAGTAGCCTTAAAAGGACAACAGCCCCCTTTCTCCATTCTGACAGCAAGATGGAATCTTCTGATTGCTGTTCCATGCACGAGGGGCCAAATCTACCAGTACTAGTGCCATCTGTCTTATAGTCAGAAACCGTATTGATAGTATCTTCAGGCGAGACTGTTTTCTTCACCTCACTATCCCATGTTCGGTAAGGACACAAAAATATTCTTTCTGTTGAGTGTCTCCTGGTGAACCTCTGCTCCACAGGAGGATAATTTTTTTTCCATTTCTTCTAATGTGCTTTTAGAGAGTATGGTAAGGACACAAAAATATTCTTTATGCTGAGTGTCTCCTGGTGGACCTCTGCTCCACAGGAGGATATTTTTTTCCCATTTCTTCTAATGTGCTTTTAGAGAGTATTTGAAGTGTTTTAATTCAATGGTTGTTCAAATATGATTTGCTTAATTGTGCTTAAATATTATTTAATTGTCTTTTTAGTTGTATGTTTTTTTAATTCATAAGGTGAGCCATACAAAGTCCCAATATTGTAAACTATGAATAAATGAATAAACATATACGCAGGAGACATGGCCCGAGGCCAGTGAGCCATAGCACAACTGGATAGTCAGTCATCATAACAGGTGCCATTTGGGGATGAAACACCAAGGAGTGCAGAAGGGATGGCTATGCTATACCTCCTTGCCTTTGAGTCTTACAACAATGATATCAAGAGTGCTTCCAAAAGTTTAAGTGGAGACAGCACATGTAATCGTACCAATTTTGAACATGTCAGAGAAGGCCTGATACTTGGATGTAACATCAACACCAGAAGATGCTCAGCTCTATCCAACATTAAGGCGCTGCCTCAGCCAAAGAGCAACTTATATGTTTAAGGTCCAGACTGGTTTCAGCTCCATATCTCATTAATGATGAATGAAGCTGCCATCTAGGGTACATGCTGGAAGGTATTATCCAGGTTTCTTATAAGGCTCCCAGTAACAAAATATTTGGAGACTTCTGGCTGGTTTTTTTTCCTCCAGGTAGTGCTGAAGACAAATAAACAATACACTTCAGCCAAAGTCATTCTTGTCTTCTCACAGGCTGTAGTGGAATAGGTATGCTACTGAATGCTCGGAAACAAGAGAAACATCAGCTTTCCTACTGACTTTCCAGGAACCCTGAATGCTATATGCAGAGGCCTCTCTTATTTTTTTCTGCAAGGGACAGCTCTTTTGAAACAATTTGTACTTCACGGTGATTTGAGTTCCAAACAAACTAAGTGGTTTCAAATGAGTTGTTCCTAAGAGTCTCATTCAGCCTTATCTTGAGATGCTGCAGAACGCTTTTTCCTTTGTTCGGGTCCTGAAAATGCTCTTCCTAGTGGTCATTAATAGAATTTGCTGCGTAGCATGCAACTATATAACTTTCATCCATATATAACAGAGAAACAAACAAACAAAAAGCATTGATCCATATTAAAGACCAAGAGATTTACATTTAATGTGAGTTTTTGTGGATTACTATCTGTTACTCAGACACAAAGAGTGAAGTATTTATTCACAGGCTTATATGCTTAGTGCCCAGTAACAGCACCGTGGCAAGGACTATCAGTATTACTGTGAATTCTCACTGAAAATATATCTTTTGTTTTGTAAATGATGCAATGCCAAACACCAAGTGTTCCATTTTCGTGGCTTGGGATATAGGTCTTTTTCTACCAACAGAAGGTTAGGAGTTTCAGGTCTAAATGTAACTAACACTGAGTTACTGAAAACAGAAACCAGAGTTTCTGAATTCTTCCTCCCATCTCTGATGGAAGAGAAGAAAAATGAAGCAAATGAGTTACACAAGGAAGAGCTTTACCGCTTCACGATACGTCTCAGTGCAATTTATGTATTTGGCAATAAACATTTTCTTCATGTACCAAAAGACAAATTAACGTATATATTACATGACAACACCCTCGACAATATTTTAAACTTAGAACATGCATGCAATTCAGATAACCTATGACTCACCTCTGCACGATCCAGTGCAAGTTCTAAAGCTTGCTGCTGCAAAATGATAAAAAGTTTTCTCAGAAAGCAAAGTAACTGATTAAATAATTTGAAAGATTCCTCTACTCCTGTGGTTCCCAAACTTGGGTCTCCAGATGTCAGCAGAGCTAATAGTGAAGGCTTCTGGGAATCTGAAGACCCAGTGTTGGGAATTGCAGCTCTACTTTATTATACAACAAGAACTATTATTAATTAAGCAAACAAAATGTTCTGACGAATAAAAACAAATACTTTGTTTAGTATTCAAAGGCTGTAATTCTTAGCACATCTACCTGGAAAAAAATCTCACTGAAATTGTTCTGGGTACACAGGCCTGCATAAACCATACATTATTAATAATAACCCAATGATTATAGAAAATTCAGAAAATTCAGATGCAAATACAAGGTGATCCACATTGTGGGTTGAAAACAGCAGCTGCTATGAAGTGACAAAGATGCCAAATGTTTGATTGGCAGTAACTATATTTTTCACATTCTGACAGAGAAACAAATGGTCATGGAATCGTGAACAGGCTGAAGACCATGTGCTCCTTCCCCACCTTTAGTGCAAATTCTCTTGCTGTTGTCTTAAGCAGTTAAACACTCTGTCAGCATTGGTATTAGTTTAATATTCACCAAAGATCCCATTTAACTACAATTTAAAACCAACAACCATGTTTCAAAGTACAGGTAAAGCTGATTTCCAATTATAATAGAACAAGGTGCCAAATAATTAACAGTGATGCTGACATGCTCAACCACAGTCAAAGCTGTCATGTGTAATTCACTGCCTATAGGAGAAAGGCAGGAAGGACTAAATTATCTTTTAAGTATAGCAAAACATACAACTACATAGACTTTCTAGACGTCATTACTACAAAATGAAGATGTCTAAGCTACATTCAGAAAACTAGGTCTATTTATTAATTATCTCAGATGATGTTAAAAAGACATGGTGGGCATTATCTTGGTGTTCCATCTTCTCCTATTGTCTCATCCACCTGGACTATATGCTTCAGTGAACACACTGACAGATATATTTTGTTGTATAACCTATATGCAATAAACAACAAGTGATCTTTCAACATTTCACTTTGAGGTATTCACTAGGAAAGGAAGCAGGTTTTATATCCTAGTTTGCAATTTGACTTTACCATTTAAATATAAAGGGAAAAAAGCATTCTCTCTGCCAATGTAACATAACCAAAGCAAGTCATTGTAGTATGCAAACTAGCGTGGGATAGTGAAAGATTAGGACTCAGGAGATCTAGCTTCAAATACTCACTTAGCTATGGAAATTCACTAGGTGGTGGGACTGCTAAATCCATTCCTCAGATATCCCACATACCTTGAAAACCTATGATCACCGTAAGTCAGATATGACTTGATTGCATTAACACAAGGTCAGTCTGCTCCAAGTTTGGAGGAAAATGCTATAAACAGTGCATCTGTGAAGCACAGCATTTGTGCCTGTGCTATTAAATAATAATTATGTGCCATTTAGTTGATTTTGATTTAGGTTGACTCTTTGCATAGCGTTCTAGGTAGAGAATACTCAGAATTGGCCTACCATTTGGTTCTTCTGGATGCACTCTGGGACTGTGCAGCTTGTCCAAGGCTACACAGGCTGTCTCTTCTCCTAGTCTGAACCAAAGTCTCAATCACTGATTCTGAAGTCAGCAATCTAATTCACTGAACTATTCAGCCAGCAGCTCAGTCTAATAACCATATTAGACAAAGATAATTATGTCTGAATTCACCCTATGGCTTGAAGTTCCAAATTTAACAATGAAAAGAACAGGCTAATGCTTCCTACTCGTTTGCTCTCCTATATTCACAATAAGGATTTTACAGCAAAATATAAAATAAGTTACCATCATTACTGAAGCTCAGCAACAAGTAAAGCCAAAGAAAATTTTAGATTGTGGCACTGACAGCAGAGTCCATCTTCAAGGTATACTAAAGCTAGTGGGAGAAAGAAAAATGTTTATTAGATAAGGGAAACAAAACATTTGACAACAATGTATTTTCGAAGGCTGTCACGGTCGGGATCCGATGGTTGTTGCAGGTTTTTCAGGCATAGCAAAACTTTATTTTCACTTATTAATAGAAGCACATTTAGTACATTTATTTACTAGAACAAGGCACAGCAAATTCTTCTTTCACAGAGATATGTATCGAAAATTTGCTATGCTGGTTCAAAATCTTGCTTCAGATTTAATATAAATGCAGTTCTAACATCTGGTTCATTAACAAAAATGATGGTTGAAATTTATTCAGTGCACCCACATTAAGATTCGACTCAGAGGACTAGAGTTGGAAACAGGCATTACCTTGTCCAACCCTACAGATACCACAAAAGTGATTAACAGAATCTCTATATCACACAATACCACAATGTCTTGGGTATGTGGTTTGGCACATTTGACTGAATAAACTTCAATGGTGCTCTTCTTCATTTCTGTGATTAAAACGTTTATTTGCTTGTGACAGATTCTTCAGGCTTATCTTTGTGAGCACTAAAGTCAATCATCGAAAAATGGTGCCTCAGAGGCCTATCATTCTGGGTTTGGGCCATCTCAAAACCAAACCTTTGTCCAGACAAAACAGGTAAGCTCAATTTGCTAGCCAAATAATGTTAAGGTTACAAGAACAGATAAGATAATTGCGATGTAAATGAGGTATCTTCTAGTCCTTATCCAACATTTATTTATTTATTTATTCATTCATTCGATTTTTACCCCACTCCTCTAGACAACGTCTACTCGAATTTGACCCAACTCTGGGAGGCAGTGGAAGACAGGAGGGCCCGGCATGCTCTGGTCCATGGGGTCACGAAGAGTCGGACATTACTTAACGACTAAACAACAACATGCATCATTATCCAAGTGGGCATAATGACCAAAGGTAGGCAACCTGGGGCCCTCTGGATGTTTTGGACAAACATGATCAGTGATGCGAGTTGGGTATTATGGCCACTGTACAAAAAGGGGGCATGTTTTCTGCCCTAATTGATTTGTTGATTTCACTTTGCAACAATTAAAACAGAAATGGAGCACAACATGCACAAGGCTGTTCTCTTTCAAGAGAAGTACTCTAATATTATTCCACAATGATGTACCTTTGCTATATTTTTATTGTTCCCATCCTCCCCTGATGAAATCTTACATTCAGATTTCAATGAGAGGGATTATTTTTGCTTTTCAAAAAAAAGTATATTTGAAAAACTCCCCCCCACACACTACCATAATACACTTGCTAACAGGTTGGGCTTGGCCGGGGTGGGGGTACAGGCGGTGGCCTGGGTTCAAATCCCTTCCCTGGCGCCAGAGAACAAGCCTACAGTATTTGGGAGACTTTAGGTTAAGATAACAGCCGCATCTCGACGCGTTTGTTGCGAGCCTGAAAAGGAGAGGACAAAAGTAGAGCCTTCGTTTAGAAAATGGGAGAGAACATGTAGATAATAATAATAAAAAAAAAGAAACAGAAAAAAAATAAGGAGCCACTTACTCGGGAAAATCTACCCACAATCCTGCAAGTATAACCAAGCATCCTTCTCCTCCTCTTCCTAGGACTGCAAAGCCAGAGGGAAAATCTACCCTCTCCCACAATCCTGCGAGTATAACCAAGTATCCTTTTCCTCCTCTTCCTAGGACTGCAAAGCCAGAAGTGAAAAGGGCGCAAAAGTCACACTAGGAGGCCAGAACCTAACCCTTCCTTCTGGCGGGGGATACACGACCCGCCCCAGCTCACTTCTCCCTCCCTTCCGCTGCTGAAAGGCGGAACAGCGGGAGCTTACCCTCTCCCACAATCCTGCGAGTATAACCAAGTATCCTTTTCCTCCTCTTCCTAGGACTGCAAAGCCAGAAGTGAAAAGGGCGCAAAAGTCACACTAGGAGGCCAGAACCTAACCCTTCCTTCTGGCGGGGGATACACGACCCGCCCCAGCTCACTTCTCCCTCCCTTCCGCTGCTGAAAGGCGGAACAGCGGGAGCTCGGAGCGAAAAACCTCCAGAAACCCGGGACGCAGCCCACGACCCGAGCCGCCCCTTTCAGCACAACACCCCCGCTTAAAAGGGCGCAAAAGTCACACTAGGAGGCCAGAACCTAACCCTTCCTTCTGGCGGGGGATACACGACCCGCCCCAGCTCACTTCTCCCTCCCTTCCGCTGCTGAAAGGCGGAACAGCGGGAGCTCGGAGCGAAAAACCTCCAGAAACCCGGGACGCAGCCCACGACCCGAGCCGCCCCTTTCAGCACAACACCCCCGCTTCGCTTCCCCGCTCTTCTGTGGGAACGTGGTGGCGGCGGCGGCGGCTCCGTGCCGTCCAGTCGCCTCCGGCTAATGGCGGGTGACCCACCCCTAGGGATGCGCGGTTTCCGAAATGCCCTGGCCTCCACAGCCCTCTCTTCCCGCTCGCCTCCTGTAAATGCTAGCCTGTGGTTTCCTTTCGGGAGTCCATTCATGTCACATTGGGTTGTAGTTGCAGGAGAAGTAACCGTGTTAGTCCGTGCAAAGCGTATCAAGCAAAATTCAAATAGAAATAAGTCGCAAAAAAAGGGAGGGGGGAACCACGTGGCACCTTAAAGACTTAAAATATAATAGCGTTTAAGGTGCCACATGGTTTTTGTCTTTTTCCTCTTTGGATTTTGCCCGGTACTTTTACTTTGGTTTTCCTTTTTTTTCCACCTGCTGCTTTCAACATTTCCCAGTATTATTGGTTTTTCCAGATAATCCAGCGAATCCGGAGAATCATGGTGTCTCAAAAACAGGACAGCCTCAGTTTCAACATTTCTTCTTCCAGAGATAGTTCAGGCTTGATTTGCTTTGGGACCCACTGTGATGTTTTCTTCCTGGCTCCTTGCCTGCTTCACCACACAAGGAGCTCACGCTAGGCCTTCTGACCACTTGAGACGTTTCTTCTTTTCCTCGCTGCCACCAGTGGATTTTCTTTTATCCACAATACCAAGAACTAATGTTATCTATTTATTAAGGTGTATTAAAGTTGTTCAGGATCACAGATGCTCTTTTATGTAATGTTTACAATCAAATCATTCAAGTGTCAGATAATTTGCTACATAAACAATCACCACCTAGTATATTTATTGATCGTGACCAGCTTATCACTATTATTTATATCTTGTCTCAATCTCCCTGACCATCTGTCTCTCTCTCTGCAATTTCTCTCTACCACTCTCAACCAACAATCTCCACAATTTTGAAACGAATCATGTTTTTCATTGTCCACTTTTTTTACTGTCCAGGTTTCAAACCCATACCTGGTGATCAGAAATGCTGTATAAGAGGGTGGACAGTCTTGGTCTTGGTCTCCAGTGTCTCACCCTTACACATGATGGTCTGTTGTAATTCCTTCATTGCTGCCTTTCCAAGTTTCAGTTTTCTCATATTTTGGCAGGTCTACATTTGGATCCGTCTTTTTGGCAGTCCAGGTTATCCACAAAGCTCTCCTCCAGCACTATGTTTCAAATGAATCTATATTTAATGCAGCCTAAAATGGCATTTTCCTCTTTTGCAGCTGTATCACATTGTTGGCTCATATACAGCTTGTGATCCACAATTCCTAGATTCTTTTTTACATACATATAGCAATGCAAAGCCAAATATCTCCTGTTGTGGATTTTTCACCCACTATAGCCCACTGCCCAAATGGAAAATTCAGAAAGACAGATGCAAATGCAAGGATCTCTTACCCATTTTATTCCAAACCTAGCAATCAGACAGAGAAGCTTGCAACATTATAAAGCAAAAAGCGTACTGCTTATATACCGCCCCATAGCACTTCAAACACTCTCTGGGTGGTTTACAAGTTAATTATGCAGGCTACACATTGCCCCCCCCCCCCCCCGCAAGCTGGGTACTCATTTTACCGACCTCGGAAGGATGGAAGGCTGAGTCAACCTTGAGCCGGCTACCTGGGATTTGAACCCCAGGTCGTGAGCACAGT